TAGAGACTCTGGAGACCCCGAAGCCGCTGCTAGCCTTCGTAACAGCAGCCTGGCGCTCCCTGCGGGGCCTGCAGACCTGCTTGGTGGCCTGACAGCGATTTTATGAGGGGAAAATGGGTCTCTTTCCAGGTTCCTAGAAGTCTAGGAGTTGCAGCATAGCAGCAGAGGTTGTTCGGCCGGTTTCCCCTAGAGTGGATTAAAAAAAAATAATAAAATAAAAATTATGCTTTAAGAGCTGCCTAACGACTCTATCAGTAGCCCGTGGTAATGCAAAGGGTTTATGCTGTTTCACTGAAAGGAGTTAAATGGAATAAAAAAATCAGAAGGTTCACAAGAACCTGATTTTTTCCTTTCCAAGTGGAAGTCAAAATCTGTCACAAAATGCATTAAACAACACTCGAAAAGTTACTGTTGCAAAGACCATTTCATAGTGTATCGGCATTTAACTCATGCCACAAGGCACATGCACTTTCTCAGTCGTGCTCTGTGTAGCATCTTCTTGCTATTTGGATTTTAAAACGTTTTATATCTACTATTAACTCCAGAGAAATGCTGCAGGAAAGATGGTACTTTGGTCAGTAAGATTCTGTCTTTAGGTTTAATACACAGAGAGAAGGTGGTGATATTATCATTGTGTACTAGGTTTGGCTGGCAAAGCTAGATGTAAGGAACGGTCTGCCTTGACCTTTTCAGCTGACTATGTCTAAGATTAAGCAGTGCTGGAGTAAAGAAGTTTGGAACGGTGAGGTCTTGGGGAGGGGTGCTACAGAAAAAGAGAAAAGAATTGTGCTATTATGGTAACTGAAGCGGAATTGGACATACCGCACATCCCTGAAAAGCACCGTGATGAAAGTAGTTGTTCCCCCACCAGAGTATGAATCTGAAGGATGTTTGCAACAAACACAGGGTCTCAATCTGCTTACATCCAGGTATCTGTGTTCTCCTATAGTTCTTAGTGAATATTGACTAAGATTTAAGGGAAAATGTGAAGGTTTTAACTCTGTACCATTAAAATACTGTTATTTTGTCAGTTTACTTGTCTGTGCTATGCTGCAGAATAACAATATTTCTATTACTTTTCAGCTATGAGAAACCTCCCCCAGGGCTAATTAAGGTTGGTAAATATATTGCAGTAAATTTTCAGAATTACAAGGGATTTTCACGCAACCTGTCTTTTAGCCATTTATCTTGTGTCTGCATTACCTTTATAAATTACAGAGAGAAGTAGATCCAGGGAAAAACTCAGACCTCCTGAGTTACAAGTTGACATCTCTGACTTGGTGAATCCAGAGTGAAATGCCTGGAATCAGACAGGATGATACCAGTTCTTTCATCACCTCTTTGCATGCACATTTAATGCAGTATTTCACAGTGTGGATTAGAGGGGAGTCATTTATGGTGAAGCAGATTTTCAGTTTGGCATCTTTTCAGGATTCTCCATTGCTTGTGCTGAAATATTTGTGTAAAAGTGCTTTCATAATGATAATTGCTTTTGCCAAATTTATGTATCTAAGGGCATTTAACCTAAAAAACACTGCTCTGTGTTGTAAAGGCTATTTTTAATTGTTATGTCTTGTTAGCAGGGAAAAAGAAAAGTCTCTCTTGTCTGTTAGGTTTTAATTTATATTATTTAAATAAATGATTAAAATAAAGGGGAAGGAATGGAATTAATATGTCAATAAAGTCCAAACTGGAAAATTCAAGGGTAAGGGAAAAATAAAATTACTTAATGCTGTTAAAAGGGTCAGGTATTTTGGATACTTTGTGTTACAAGAAAAAGAAATGTTACAAGGGAAGTAGGTTCCATATTAAGTGAAGGCCTGCATGCTTGGAGTATTAATTTTTACAGAGTTAAAAAAATCATGGTTTTTTTTTGTCCTTACCTTTTTTCCATAGGAGAATGAAACGAAACCAGAAGACTGCATACCTGATGTACCCGGCAATGAAAGTGCACGAGAATTCCTGGCACATGCCCCTACAAAAGGGCTTTGGATGCCTTTGGGAAAAGAAGTCAAAGTCATGCAGTGTAAGGCTGAAAAATATTCTGGATGCCACCGGACCTTCATATAGCCACCCGTTTACTCTGGGGGAGGGCAGCATGTCTGGTGGACAGATGACAAGGTCCAGGTAGATTGGCATAATCTTGATATAAAATGCATAAAATGCATTTTATAGATGTTATATTTATCAACATAACACTTGTATCTATTTATTTCAGCAAGTTGAAAATATCTTCTGTAAACATGCTTTTTTTTCCCCCCCTTTTCCTCCTTCTGATCTGGCTCCAGGTGCAATTCACTGCTGCTTCTTTTTTTAAAGGTTGGAGGTGTAAACGTTATGGACATAGAACAGGAGATAAAGAATGCCCATTCTTTATTAAAGGCAATCAGAAATTGGAACAATTCAGAGTAGTGAGTACAAATACTGTAGTATTATTGTTTGTATTTTTAAAATATTGATGCTGCATAATCTTGCAAGTGAAGAGAAGCTTATTAGATGATGCTCTAATAGGGACTTTGTCTCTAGTATAATATAGATGTGGAAAATCTCCTAATAAAGGAAAAGCTACAGATGTGGTTTAATGTTTGACTTCTTTGCAGAAAATCTACTCTTTGAGAGGAAAATTAGTAATTTTTACATTGAAATATTCAAGAATTTGTTTCAACCATTCTATTCGGTCCACCTTTTCAGCATATGTTTTTGTGATAACAAAAAATGTTTAGTCAAGCTTGAGCTGCCCACATTACAGCTGCTTCGAGCCTTCTGCTCTCACTGTGAATAACCACATCATGAAGCCTGTTGTCTAGGTCTGTAATCCCGTCATTGTCTACAAGTCTTATCTTGTGCTACATGAGGCTACATCTCAGTCGTGCAGATTCTTTCTGCATTACCTCTTTAACTTTTCCTGTTGTTTTGCATTGTTAAACTATATTTCAGGGTCTCATCACTTTGTGTTTCGCGTCCTCGTTTCTATCCTTGAAAAATGCAATCTGTACTTACTCTGACCAATCAGAATGCTACTACAAAGAATATTTTTAGCCCACTCCCATGACCAGATTCTGTCCTTCATTTTTCTTCGGGCTTCTCTGTTGCATCAAACTGTTGCTCTATGTCTAAGGTCTTTTATGGTGCATTCCCAACATCTTTCATTTGCTGCTGACATTTTAATTTCCACCTGCAGTCAGCATCTGATATCTCCTTTCTCATGAACTTGTTTGCTGAATCTTGGAACAGAAATTATTACCCTGACTTTTTGCTGCAGTCTTGCATTGCATGAACTCATCTTAAATATCTGCAAAGTTTATTTGCTATCTTTTTTCACATCTGTCTTTTGCTGCAACGCCTGTTTAGTTTAAAAATAACTGATTTAAGAACCAATAATGGTAGCACATAGCATGTTAGGACAACACCCAGCTGCATTATCTGTTTGTCTTACATTCATTCCTTGCTTCTGTATTCCTGTGTGTGTGTATCCAGGTTTTTAAAATATGCTGTAAGGGGACAGCTCATTATTTTTAACTTAAATATTTCTTCTATTTATAGCTATTCCTATAGTATATGTATGGGCTTCTCTTTGTTAACTGTGACTGGAGAGGGAGAGACTTAGTATACCTAAGGAGAGTCTCCTTCACTGGTGATGGAACTAGATAAGCATTTTTTAAAGTAAAAAAAAAACCCAGATTAACAATGTTAAGCCTGAGAGTATACTTGTGAATTAAGAGCTCACTAAATGCATTTCATCTTCTGATAAAAGCCTCTTGCATTGAGTTGCTTTGGTTTATTTTTTTAAGAACTACAACAGTCAGTGATAACTACTTTTCTTTACCAACACTGGATTTTCTCTTTTCCACTTCAAAGGCACATGAAGATCCAATGTATGATATAATAAGGGAGAATAAACGTCATGAAAAAGAAATGAGGTAAGTGTGTTTCTGTAGTAAACTGCATCTTCAGTTTGGTTTTTATTTTGATAATATGATACTAAAGTATAGGTGAAATTTTTATATAAGATACCCTTACCAATTTGGAACATTTTTTTAATAGCAGTTTCTTTATGTTGGCAGACACTAATGCACTTCTACTTTGTCAATAATTGCTCAGTAGTACTTCCTACCTCTTTAATTCTATTAACATCTATATGTTTTCCCAAAACAAAACTTAAAGAGGAGTCATAATCATTTGTGCTGTAATATTCAGGTACTTGAGTTTAGTTTTGGTTTAGGCCTAAAAAATGGTTTTATTTTTTTTCCTTTCACTGACTTCACCAAGATGTTTTCTAAAATCTGGTATTTCAAAGTGCATTCAGTAGACATGAAGGGTTGAACTTAGAAAGCTAGTTCTAGGCACCTGATGGTGTTTCAATATATAAAGCAGCAGAGTTCTCCAATGCTTTCTTGAACCGCATCCGTGAAATAACTGAACAAACTGTAGGTAGCCCATAGAGTAGCGCTGCTGCTGCAGGTGTGCTGTGCTTTTTTTAAAAAAAAATAATCCTTAGAGAAGATACTGAAGACAACAAAATAAGCAAGTAGTCTGTCCTCATTTCCCAGTAATCCATTAAAGTTCAACTAAAAAGCATCTGTCTGCATCTAAAGTAGAGTCTACTCTATCAACTTTACTGACATCATCTCTGTATCGGCATGGCAATGAATTTTATAATATGATTATCCCAGTATGCATCTGTGTGTGGATAAGCATAGAACTTCTTATGGTGGTCTGGTGATAGCTGTTGTCTCATTATTTTGCATACATTGCTAAATAGGCATTGGCCTATAAGCTAATCTGGTTTTGCTGTCCCGTGGGATGGAAAGTCCCTGAGAACAGACCATTTGCTTGTCTCAAAAGGGGTTGCTTGCCTTAGTCCGTGAAAACTGTAATGGGACTGCTGTTCAGCAAAAGAAGTTATTTTCCCCTGCCCTTTGCATGCAGCTTCCACTTCTCAATCTAGAATAAGTTATTACAGGTAGAGGAGAGCTAGAAAGGATTCTTATTCGCATTTTTTTAAACTCAGGATACAGCAACTGAAGCAGCTCCTGGAGGACTCTACCTCAGATGATGATAACAGTGATAATGATGGCAGCAGCTCCACTTCCTCAGAATGTAGAGACAAACACAAGAAAAAAAAGAGAAAGAAGGAAAAGAAAAAAAAAGAAAAGAAGAAGAAGAGAAAGAAAAAGCATAAATCATCTAAATCTAACGAGAAGTCAGAATCTGACTGATGGCAGTCACCCGCTCCATGCTCGTTAACCCTGACTTGTGAGCTGCAAGGGAATACCCAAAGAATGAGGAAGAAACCACCAGAAAGGGCTTTGTTCAACGCTAAACATACAGATGGGTACACACAGCAACCTACACTGGCTGTTCTCGTCTGCCCCTCTGCAGCCAGAAAGAGAGCTGCATTAAACAATATTAAACCACATCTTTGTACTGTAAAGCCTATATTAAGGATCATCCATCTTGGTCAAATTGGGCCTCTGCACTGCCGCATGTGACTATCAGCAGAAAGCAGTGACTACCAAGGTATCACCAACAAATCTGCCGCATTCAGCAGACTGTTTATTGAAGTGTTTTTTTCTCCATGAAGTTACTTTGTTATGTACAAGGCCTCATTGTAATGGGACTGCAGTTTGCACCATGCAGAGCGCTTGGAGTTTACTCACAGTGCTTACAATAAGCAGGTTGTACTGTATTTCTTTTCCTCTGCTTCTACCTGTGTTCATTATACTTATCCTAGTACTGGCAGCTAGAGAAATAAATAAAGACCACTGCTGAAGCGAGGAAAAGTTAATCGAGGGGATTTACTTTAAGACAAAATTGCAGTGTCAGGAAGAATTGGTTGGGGTTTTTTTGTGTGCAGCAAAATGTCAACATCATAACCATTAATACGCACAGTTCTACAAAACCTGAAGTGTTCTCCATACCACAAGAGTAAGAGCCAAGTGTAATGATGCTAGATGTTTAACTGTTTAGTTACTGTAAAAAGGTAGTGGTTTTAGTTATTTTAAAAGGGGGTTTACATGTTAGAAATGAAAAAGATTTATTTCTATGTACACTTCAGTATCAGTTGTTTTGATACATTTGATGTTTTTTTCCTTTTAAAAAGGCTTGGGGAAATAAATTCCAACATACTTCTTATGTTTACTGGAATTATTTTATGTAATAATACTTTATGAATCATCCCACAAGAATATAAATGTGTAAGGCTTTCAGTATGGTTTTCAACTCTATGCATATAAGCCTCAGAACAGTAGTAAAGAACTTGTAAGCAGGAAGGAAAGTTCCATGGACTTTGCAGACTGACCACACTTTTAAATAATACAGACTTGATTAGAGAGACTGAAATAGCTATAAACTGTATTAGAGTAGGCATCTGTTTTTGGAACCTCAAGAGACAGTGGTACAAAGCCATGATTTGAGGACCTAGATTATATATATTGGTACTCTACAAAAGGAGAAGGAAAAATAGATTTGCTTTGAAAGGACTAGAAAAGACTTTACTAGAACTTAGGGCCTGGGCTTATGCTTATTTTGGAAAAAAGCATAGTAAAGTTCTAACATTTGTAGAGTGAACATTAACAGTGAAATCCAGGAACCACAGACTAAAATGCATTTAGTTTTTTTTTCCTTTTCTCCTGAGAGCTTTGGAAAGATGACAGGGGAAAGTATACATTAAAATGTGTTTTCTCCCTCCTACCTGAACATGGAGTTGTGGTTTATCCCCCAGTATTATTTAGCACATCTACCTGTGATGTAATTTACTGGTGACTCCTGATAGTTCTCTGTAAGAGCATCAGCAAATTCAAAACTCTTGGCTCTTTCACCAGAAAAAGATGCAACAGCTGAAATAGCATCAGGAGGTTTACAATGACCTGGTCCTCTGTATTGCCACTTTCGGTGTTGAAAAAAGTCCCTGAATTTATAGCATTGGTGATGGTTGGATGAATGCTGGAAGCCACAGGTAGCCTTCATCTGATGCACTCCAAGAGAATCTTCACTCAAGCTTGTCTAGAGCAGAGCTAACCTAAAGATCCCTTCAGTAACTTTAGTTTTTGTCATTTAAGATTCTTCTGAAGTTTTAGTTCAGTAAAAGCAGACTCAATTTCTTATCAGTCCATCATCCTTGTTAATGGGTCCTTCCCATTTTACCTACCAGGTTAGGTAAAATGGATTTGAACAATCAAAAAAAGTACTGTAAAAGACCATTGCTCTGACTTCTATCAAATGCAATTTAAAAGTTTGCTTGCAATTTAAAAAATACCAAAGCACTGTTCTGTACCAGACTAGAGATCTGTTTAACCCAGCATGGTCAATAGCAGATGCCTACACAACAGAGCAGTCCAAGCTCTACTGGCGTTATTTCTGTCATTTCACTGAAGTGCTGTCTTAGCCCCTACTGCTTGCAGTGCAGGTACTTTGAATCATAGGTTATATTCTAGTTATTTAGTAGCCTTGTACTTTTTTCTTTTATATCCAGTGACTTACTGTAAACTTCACAATGTCCTTCAGCAAGGAGCTTCTAAGAGATTACTTAATAGTGAAGAAACATCATTTGCTTTCAAACTGCTCCCCACTGGTTTCATTTCATACACCCTAGTTCTTGTAATGGAAGGCATGTGAACAGCTGATTCCTATTTATTCTCCCCATATCATTATCAGTTTTATGGATCTCTATCATACCCCATACATACAGATTTTAGTAGTTCCCTACTTCCCTCATGAAAGTAGAGCCAGTATCAAAATTAAAGCTAACAGTTTCAATAGAGTAAGATTTCAGTAGCACTGACTGGCAGCCAGTGCTAGAGTGCTGAGAAGCATGATGCATTTCACCATTTAGCATTTTAAACAGTGCCAAAGCTGGCATTTAAGAGACACTACATCTTTTAGAAATACATAGAATAGCAATAAATACCAACATTCATTTATACTAATGGAAGACAATTCTATGTGGAAATAAGTCCAGAAAGCATAGAAAGCTATAGTCTTAAGACTGATTAGGCTTATTTTTAAGTCTTAACCATTGGACTATTTAATGGTTTTACTCAAGCAACCATTTTTTTTTTAATAGTGATCCTTGCCTTCTTTGTAGGCATGTATATTCCCATTTGAAAGTTCTGTTGAAACCCAAGTGTTAGTAATAACATAATTATATAGTCCCAGGAATTTAAATAAGTGTGAAATGCAGCTACAACATCCCTTATAGGAAATACAGCTTGACAGTTCTTCAGCTCCCAGGTCTGAACCAGTTTTCTCAAAGATTACTTCAGCAGAAGTACTGACATTTGTTTTATTTATTTGGCCATGAAATTACTTGGGGCTTACAGTCTTGACTGAGATGGCTGGTGGCAGCAAGTCAAGGGAATCTGAGGATCTTTTCTTCCTTTATTTTTTTTAAACAATGTATTTGTTTTTCTTTGATGTACCCACAGTTAGCTTGCAATGAGTGGGTTTTGGTGGGTTTTTTAGTTTGTTTGTTGGGACTTTTTTGTCATTGGCTCCTGTCTTTCATTGTTTTAATGGAAAGACCTGTAATTAATCTTTTCTAACATAAAGCAGAAAGCAGGACATCATAAGAGGGAAAGCTTTATGCCACACAGATGCTACCAAATAAACACAAAAAACCTGGCAAGCCAACATAACCTGCTAGCTCCATTTCAGTGATTATACCACACCCACTTAGCAGCAGAGGTTTTAATAAGCTACAAATAATAATTTAGAAATTCTGAGTCACAGACAGTAAGTCTGTCCAAACACAGCTCCCAGTATGGCAGTCTCAGAGGCTTCTAAGGTTAGTTACTGGTGTGTCAAGCAGCAAATAGATTCTTCAGCTGTCCTTCTGTAGATGCTGCAGGAAGCATGTGAAAACTTCCAAGGCAATGCAGTACTGCTAGAGTTACAAGCTCATAATACTGCCAGCACTGCAGTTACTCATCATTGGGCAATCTAGCTTCAGCAGTAATGAAAGTTACATGTATGTGCTATTTGAGATTTAATTTGTTACAGATGCACTGTGGCTAGTTACCTGGACAAATTAAAAGAGCCTGGGCTTTAATTCACAGCCTTTTAAAATGCTCATTGTACCACAATTTTGCTGAACATTACCGTCATAAGCCAGTTGACCTAATCAATGCAGTCCACAAATCATCCATGCTACTGAGTGAGGAAAAAAGCCAAGGAGATTTAGTTTTAAGGTCACAGGACTAGTACTCTACTCTGACAGTACACACCACATACAACATTATCCAATTAGTATTTCTGAAGCACTAGAACATGTGATGTCATGAATACTTACCAGACATCCAGCAAAAGATGAAGAGTTAAATCTGTCAGCAGAGCTCATTTAGTATTCAATCCCAAAGCTACACTCCAGTGAAAAAAGTAGTCAATCCTTAACCTAAGAGGTCTCAGTTATGGCTGAGAATTACTCTTAGGTCATCACTTAAAGTTTTCAAGTTCAGAGATTCTAACACTCATTCTCCCCTTCAGAATAAGGTCTATCCCCCTCTAAGAGCAGCACATTCCTGTATTAGATATCCAATAGCAGTCATCCTATATTTTCCAGAGCATTTAGAAGCTCCATGCTTGAAATAATTCCCTCCCTCATTTTATTCTGAGATTCTGTTCTGAACAGAGTTTGTGTAGCACAAAAGCAAAATAAGAATTTGTATTCCTGGTTATTTTGCAGTACTTAGAGACAAAATAAAACCTTGGCATCACAGTGTTAAAGTGGATCCTTTCCCCTAACAGTAGCTCTTTAACAAGCAAATGCTATTAGAAATTATAGAAAGATCAAGGACCAGTTGTGTA